TGAAAAGGGCTACCCCTCGTGAATACTCTAAGCATACCACGACAGCCGGCTGTCGTGGTTATGTGGGACTCACTGTGACTAACCTAACCTAAGCGCCTACCCACTAAACACCACCCGTGGGACTGGCATTAGCTTTTGTGGCCTTTCTGCCGAAGCGCAAGCAACCTTCTTTAGGGAAAAGGGGGCGCAGACGGCGAGGAGCCGCTGAGGGGGGAGCCTAATTAAGGCAAATTAACAAGAGTGGGCCTGAGCCGCAAGGAGGCAGTTCAAGTCGGCCGAAAGCTTGTTTGACGGGTTCGGGAGAGAGTTTCTCGGCCTGCGGACTCGATAGAGAGAGGGGAGTGGGGCTGCATAAGAAGCTGCCTCACGAATGAAATGATTAGTGAGACTGTGAGGCTTTGAAGAAGTTCTTAGAGAGTGTTTTTAGAAATTGTTCGATTCTGGGGAGCTGTAAGTCTCGATGGAGGTCGGCGTTACGGACGTAACAGAGTGGGTTAGTAGCTCGACGACAGAAGTGGTTTTGAACTATTTGGAGTACGTTAATTATTTTAGGATTAGCGTGAGCAAATATGGGGCCTGCGTAAGTTATAACTGGTCGTATACAGACCTTATAAAGGGTTCGCTTGTTGCATTTTACTGTGTCGGCCCAGCATACTGTTGAGCCTAGTCAGATAGAAACGTACGTTGCGGGTTACTCTTTTGACATGGGGCCCGAAGGTGAGCCTCGTGTAAAGGGTGACACCTAAATATTTGGCAGTCGTATGCCAGGGGACAGGGGTCCCTAGCATACGGATTGGCAGAATGGTAGTGAGGCGGCGTCGTTTATGATCGAATTGAATGGCGGAGCTCTTCTCCGGGTTCACATCGATACGCCAGTTTTGAAACCAAGCTCTTAAGTCATTAACTGACTTTTGGATCTTGTTCCGTATGAAATGTAGTGAGATAGCTTTACAGTAGAGGGCAGTGTCGTCTGCAAAGAGGGAGAGCTGAACACCTTTCGACGGGATGGGAATGTCGTTGGTGTACAGGATATACAGCAGGGGGCAAGCACTGAGCCCTGAGGGACACCTGTTTTGATAGGGAGTTGAAAGGAGAGCGTGTCTTCGTGTCTAAAACGAAAGGTACGATCCTTCAGGTAGGAGGCCCCGAGACGTACAATACGATCAGGGAGATCTATTTTATAGAGTTTGTATATAAGACCTTTGTGCAACAGATTCTATCGAATGCCTTTGCTATGTCTAAAAAGCGATGGTCTTATGACGACGAGGATAGAAACCGCTGAGAATATATTCCACAATACGGTGAACTTGTTGGGGACAAGAATGTCAAGAGGGTCGCCGTCTGTGGGAAACAGATGGAGACTCATGCGAGTAAGGATAACTCGTTCGAAGAGTCTGTCCATGGCCTTGAGGAGGTTGATGGGACGATGACTGGAGGAAAGATTGTGAGGCTTTCCTGGCTTGGGGTACCAATGACAGTTGCCTCTTTCCACGTGGTGGGAAAGTAACTAAGGTTGAAGTAGGCGTTGAAGATAATAGCTAAAAGGGTTAACTCCTGCTCAGGAAAATGTTTAAGGGCTTGGTTGGAGATGCCGTCCGCGCCCGGAGTCTTCTTGGGCTTCAATCCTTTGATAAGGGATGAGATCTCATCATTGGACACAGTGATAGGGTCAGAGGCTGTGGGGGTTGAGTTCCGCCGGCGGACCTCATCCTCCCTTCCAGTTAGTGAAGGTTTTCGTGGAGAGGGTTGAGGGAGGTGGCTGGTGGCCAAGAACGAGGGAGACCGGACGGTGGTCGAATCTTAGATCGTCAAGAGTCTCGATTGCCCTGAGGTTGAGGTACACTCATTTAACTAGCGCAAAGTCTAGCACGTCAGGAGCGTGGTCGGTATTGTCGGGATAATGAGTGACACCGAGGGGACTGTGGACGGTAAGATCAAGAGACTGCGTGATATCAAGCAGTTTCTTGCCACTCTGGGTAGTAGTAAGGCAGGTCCATTCAGTATGCTTGGAGTTAAAATCTCCAAACATAATGACTGAATTTCCTAATGCAAGGACAGTCTCAAAATCTTTTTGAGGGAGAGGGTTCTACTAGGGATGTAGCAAGAGGCTATGATGATGGACTGAAGTCCAGTCAAGGCTAGCCTGCACACCGTGGCTTCCATGTTGGTAAGCTGCGGAGTGGGGATGTGGAAGCAATGAAGCGTCTTCTTGTAGTAAATGGCAGTACCACCGCCTTTCAGGTCAGGTCTGTCGTTACGAAGAAAAGAATAATTTTGGATGGGAAGCCCTTTGAAGTCCTTAGTTTTGAGATTGGTTTCCTTGAGGAGGAGGAGGAGGTCGGCTTCGCGATCTCGAAGAAAGAGCTTAAGCTCAGGGAGGTTATTTCGCAACTTGCGAATATTAAAGGACATAAGCGATAAACCCTTAGGCTTAATACGACCGGGAGACTTTGGGAGAGCAGAGTGCTCTGACATTATGTTAATATTAATATAACCTAAATTAATTTAATTTAAATTAAATTAACTTAACTTACAACGAGCACAAAACGTTGTGATGCTCCGTAAGAGTAAGGAGACGGTCCTGAGGGGACTGAGGGGGTTGCGTGCTAGGACAGCAATCTCCCAATGTTGATGCTCTGAATAGCGGAATACGGTGTGTATTCAGGTCAACAATCAAAGAGGGTTGTGCCTGTTATGGGGCGGAGGGCGTCCGCGGGTGGTCGGCCTTTTTGGGGCCCCAGGGGAAAACTGGAGGCTGTGAAAGCTGAGAGAAGCCCAGAAGGGGCCAAAGAGGGCCCTGAGGGGGCCTTGGGGGACCCTGAGTGGGCCGAGAGGGGCTCTGAAGGGGCTGGGAAAGGCCATGACGGGGCATTCTTGCGGGGAGGGCCGGGAATGTCCAGTCATTGACCAGCGGTGAAGCTTAGGACGAGTGTGAGGAGTGCGAGGGCCTCTGTAGTTTGCCGGGTGGACTGACTGCTGAAACAGGACGCACGCGGGTGGGGATTCGGCGTTTTGTGGCCGAGGAAACTCTTTCGAGCTGTGTGGATCTAGGCACTTAACGCACCTGGGTGGGGCAGGGCAGTTGGCCGCCGCATGCCCATAAAGTTGGCAGCGGTGGCACTGCGCCGGGAAACCGCGCCTGTGTAGGGGCTCAACCCTCACTCTCGACAGGCCGCACACTGTGCGTACCTGCCGGAAGATGGTTGTTGCCTTCGGCACGTTCGTTAGAATTACAAAGGCAAGCGGGAAACTCTTATCGTTGTTGCTGTGCATCTTGTGCACAGCCTCCACTGGTAATCCTTGGGGCTTAAGGTCCTCCAGGATGTCCTCGTTGGCGAGTTCGAATGGGACACCGCTGATTACGGCTCTGACTTTACGGTCTTCCGGAAGAGCGTGCGTGTGATAGGACACACGCTCAGCTGTGAATAGGCTGTTAAGGCGACGGAAGTCATCGAATGACTGCGGGGTGATCTTAATAGCCTCACCGAGGTTGGTGGCCTGATCGTACTTGATACCTGCGTCATAGCAGGTTTTGGAGAGGCGGGTGAATTGCGCCTTGTCTCTGAGAAAGACAGGGGGCGGGACCTGCTTTTTGGCCAGTGTGGGAGCGCAGCGAGAGCCTGGCTTGGAAGGCGGGGTGATGTCTAGTGACATTAGGGGGACCGAAACAGCAGCGGAAGCTGCGGGGGTGAGGGTGGCGGCAGGGTCTGCTGGAACGGGGGGGAGGTGCGATTTTTGACGGCGCGTTTATCGCCGTGCCTTGACTTCTCTTTCGTGAAGGAGGTATCTTCTGTAACTGTGCCGTCGGAGTCCGTGGAGAAGCTACCGGATGAAGTGTTGGATTGGATGGCGGTCCTCTTCCGGGAGGACGATGTTACAGACGCGGAGTCCCAGTACTCCATTTATTCGGAATCGGGGGACGCGGGTGGGTCGGTCTGTAGGGCAGCCGTTGAGGCCGCCGAGCAGGACGCGACGGGAGCCGGGGGAAGGGACATGCCTGAGGGGCAAGGGAGGCAAGAATAGCGGTGAGAGCCGTCTCGTCTAGATTTAGGCCCAGACCAAGAGATTGGTTTAGGGCGGCGACGAAGGTCCTAAATAGGTCCAGTGTGGAGTTCTAAGCAGTAAGACAGTATCGGGAGGGATCCCTGTTCTCAAAAGAACAGGGGCTTGTTCTTTTCAGAACAAGGAACGTATCCAAGAAACAGTATACCATACAAAAATAATAACAATTATAAAACAAAACAGAGAAATAACAATAATAAAGTAACAGAAAAATAACAATACAAGAGCGGTCAAGCCGCCCCGCCAGGAGGCAGGGGAGCAAGAACGTTAAGTGAAAGGCGAAAAACTCATCAACGGCGACTGCCCTGCGAGCGTGAGCAGGAGAGCGGAGGCGCGAGAGCGAAAGGGTACTTGACGAGTGGTAGCTCGAGTCTATCTATATATACTGCTTTTACTTCGGAACTTTGATAGCGCGATTTAGGCTTCGATGTGTTTCGGTTGTGGTGCGACGACAGCGCCGCCACATGTTGAATTTAATGATACAATGAATTCTCATCCTTACATATAATTCAATTAACAAAACAAAACATGGTTATTAGAATTAAATTTTACTTAAATCGTTATAATTTCTTTTTCAATATTTCAAAATAATATCGAGTAATATCATGTTGCTGGATTAACCAAAAGCGTGCAACTAAATCCGTGTACGTGACACTCCTAAACGGGTGTATCGGTACGCATGCGAAGCCGACCGGTACTACTGCAGAAGTTGCGGGTAGGGGGGGGGGGGGACTCCAGTCTCCATCATACCGCACCCCATCGTTGCTCCGTCTAGTCACTGAGTTGACTCACTATTAGTTATTACACATATGGTATAGGGTGGAAATTGAGATACCTAGGTCTCAATTCCTACGCTACACTTCCACACTCAAACATCTACAATTGAAAAATATGTTCTTTTAATTTTACTGGCAACCTCGCACGTATGGTAGTTAAGTGTAGGATGGCCCTCCAAATAATGGAGTGAAGAGCTGGTAAGATAGGCAGGAAAGTGTTGTGACATTCCTTGGAAGTAAAAAAAGTATGTTTAGCAGTGGACTAGTGAATGGCTGTAATCTTGATGATGATGATGACATTATAATCTATTTCAGTTAATAATATCAAAAGTTGCGATGCGATGCGAATACATGAGAATAGACGGACAGGACAAATAATAAAGTTGATTTCACTTTTTTTTCAAGTATGTATATCTAGCAGTTAATTATTAAAAATCGTAAATCATAAATCTTAGCACATTTATTTGCATGTCTGCCTGGTAATTATTTTAATATATGTCTGTCAAATAAATAAATAGTAGTTTAAAAATGTAGTAGACGACATATTAAAAATTATTTTGTAGCCAGTTAATTCCAGCCGCTACAGATATTTAATGTTTCTCATTATAAATACAATCCACATAGTAACTTGTGAAACATAATTATTATATACTCTTTGTAACTTGTTGCCTGCTTTTTTGCAAGACAAGAGTGAAATGAATCCACACATGCGCAGTGACCCTCATCGATTTTTCTTACCTACTTTTACTTTGATTTGACAGTTCGACCGATGTTTTGAGCTGCCACCCGCGTTCCAACAACAAAATAAACAATAATCATGGCTTTAGATTTTTCCGCAACCTATAAACTATTAGTTTTAGGCGATTCAAACGTGGGGAAGACATGTATTGTGCACAGATACTGCGACGAGAGATATTACGATATTTACATATCCACAATAGGTGAGTGAACTATTTACTTTTTGGTTTTACGAGCCTTTGTTATGTAGGTGATGCTGTGTTTAAAGCCCTCCTGTTCATAACGGATCCAGAATTATAGTTTCTACAGCGGAAATATCGTTTGGAACAATAGAGCTTGTGATGTAAAGCCAAGCATTAAATATTATACCCAATAGTTTTCTGATTTTCTCGTAGAGACGTTAGGTGTTTTATTTGCCTGTAAAACTCATGTGTGGTTAATTTGTAGTTAACTATTTATATTGCATTTCTCTTATAATGTGTTTGTTTATGAAAGGTTACTCAAGCTTTGTTAAAAACTTTAGAAGTATGTACTAATATAATATTAACATGTTATTGCTCATTAACACCATTTAAATATAGATCTTATCCTTATTCGGATTGACAAAATAGGGTGTTAAATATTACAACAATATACCTAAATAATTACAAAATAGTAAGATTAATTCAAAGAGGCTGAATTTTTTTAAATAGCAAGATATTTATTTATTTATTTATGTTCACAAAACAAGATATAAACAATCATCACAGTGAGTTCCCACAAAGGTTCTATTTATTCCATAATGTACTGAAATATCTTCCTGTAGACCTCTAAAGGAAAACATATTACAAAAGGCAAACATAGTGCATAACTATGTTTGCCTTTTTTAATGTTTTCCTTACTCCATACTACTAATGAATAAATAATATACATTATAAATAAATTATAATAAATAATATGATAAATAATTATAATATAATATATGATAATTATGTATTATATCTTTTCTATCTCAATATATAAAAGTGAATTGCTGTCTATTAGTCTTGGTAAAATTCAAAAACGGCTATACTAATTTTGATTTTATGTATGTGTTAAAATAGGTCCCTAGATAGTTTAGATTCACATTTGAAGTAGTTTAGATCAACATGTTTAGAGATGGAACAATGTGAAATCAATTTAAAAAAAAGGCAATTAATGATACAGAAAGTAAAGAAAAAATTATTGATTAGCTATCGAGAAAAGAATTAAAACCTGAACATCTATCTCTTTTTAAATTAGAATTTATGAAACGGGTACACTGATTCTCGAGTTTACTTAGGAGCTCCTTTGTGCATCCAATTAACAGACATTTTTTATGTTGACTTTTCTATGAATTTTGAATGAATTTTCAGGTATAGATTTCAAACAAAAAATTATAAATTTGGATGGAGTGCCAATTAAACTTCAAATATGGGACACTGCTGGCCAAGAAAGATTCCGCACTCTCACTACGGCATATTATCGTGGTGCAATGGGCATCATACTAATGTACGATATAACCAATCTTGAATCGTTTAACCACCTGTCTTATTGGCTGAGGAATATTCAAGAGGTATTTTTGTACTTTATACTTAAATAAAAAAATAAACAAATTAAATTCCAGTGTCTGTATGCATTGAGAAATTTAGAAAAATTTAAAATTTAAAGACATAAACATATTAACTTTGGCATCGCAATGTATTTATGAAAATGTGATGTATGTACATAAAAACATAAATATAAATAGGATGTTCATACCTTAAACACTAGGAACAAACATAAGCTTGTAATGCCAGTTACTAGACTCCACAGAATTAGTAATTCATTTATGGGGCAATGTATACGCTTTTACAACAAAATCCCAGGACATGTTCAAAGTTTGTCAATAACCAAGTTTAAAAGTTTTATTAAAGAAAAACTACAAAAAGGGTTATTATCATATCAAGGAATACATGAATGAAAATAATCCCTGGGTATAAGGTGACCGCCACCATGCTGGTTCTATGAAAATTAATTTAAAATTGTATAAACAAAATTATTCTTAAGCGAAATTATGTATAAAAAAAGTTCCACTGGGTTTCTTGCTGGTTCTTCCCAGGACAGAGGTATTTTCCGAACCAGTGGTAAATAAAATAATGACTTTCAATAAGTATTATGTAATAATCCATATTGAATAAAAATCATTCTATTCTATTCTATTCAATATTTTTCATTAGCAAATAATATATTTCATATTATGAGTGCATGAATCTTAGGCTCAAAACAATTTTTTCGTAAAACTGAAGTGTCAAACGAACCTTTAATTCACCCAATGGTAAGCATACATTGCTGTCTGTGGTCTCCTTGAGCCGATTTCAAACAAATATGGCTTTTTATCATGGTGAAATGCCTACGCATAACTGTCTTGCCAGGGCAAATACAGGTTATGTCGGAGTCACACCGACTAAAACCCCATGGTTCCTCTTTCGCCGCATATGGCAGGGCCTCGCTTTCGCACACATCCGCAACCCCACCAGCGCCAGCCGCCCTATGGTAGCCTTTTCTTGGGGAGGACTTCTCCCCCCTTCCTTCTTAGGTAAGGTGCACCAGGAACACAAGGCGCGCCTTCCTCCACGGCCTCTTACTAGAACTGCGAAACGGACTCCTCCGAGTTCGTGCTCGAGCTCCGATACGCGAAGGCCATGGGGCCAGGAATAACGAGCACTTAGAAGAACAAGTTACCCTGACCTCAGCGGCGGATCTGGCCTTCAGCTCCGCCGCCAACCAAGATTCGGCTGCGTAGGGTAGGGAGAGCGGCGCCTCGCAATACCGACACTCCTCTCTCCCCGCGGCCCCACCACCACCGCATCAACGGTGCGGCCCCGTCTTAGTCGCGGAAGATAGGGCGAGTGGCGCATCGCTATACCAACATACCTCTTCCTCCGCGACTCCACCTCGGCTTTAGCGGTACGGGGACGGGACTCCCCTCCCGCTGCAGCCCACCAGCACACATCCGGAGTGGGCTCGCCAAGCCCACTCGTAATGGTCACCACGGGCCAGCCAAGTGGGGCTTCCTCTGTTCACCGCGGGTGACCAAGCTGCAGCTACTAAGCACACGGGGCTTTTACGGTCGCTACGGTGCCACGATTTGTCTGCTCTACCCCTAGAGTGTTTTTGTAAGTTAAGCTCTAGCGCTGAAGCCGTTGCAGAAGTAACTTTGGGTCAATATTCCTGTGTAAAAGAAGTAATTTTTGAATATATAATATAATAGTAATGATATAATATACTCAGCGTAGCCACCTCAGCCCTTCACCGTGGCCCAACCATGTTCCATTCTGTTATTCTGTTACCTCTAAGTTCACTGTGGGTGACTTAGCCACGGCTACTAAACTTCATGGGTTTGGTTCATGGGAATCTTTTTTTAGGCCTCCCTCTACTCTTCTCGTATATTCATCCTCTTTCATAGCCTTAATACACAATACTTAATACTATCACTTTGTAATAATATAATCTAACTTATAATAAAACTAATTTAGCCTACCATGTTGACAACACACCTACCAAGCGTGGTAGCCATGGTAAATATTCTTCCTAAGAGACAATCTATAGGGCAGGTGTATCAATGAATGAAGAAATTAATTAAACATACAAGTTGGATAATAAACAAATTCTCTGTAGTACTATGTACTCACACATTTAAATACATCAAAATTTTTAATACTGTATTATATATTTTTAATAATTTATACATACACACATCAACAGAATCTAAGAATACCTTAATCTGAAATTATTTACAACTTTATAGTTTAAAATCTTTTTAGTTTCACTAAAAAGTTTAAATACCGTAAAATGGGCTGAATAGACACAACTTTCAACTTCTACACTGTTTTTCTTACATATATTGTATATAAGCTGATAATAAAACATTTTAATGTTGTGTCTTGTTGTAGTTTATTGAATACTAATGCTTCAAACGAGTAAAAACATGCAAATTCGTTGTATTTTAGAAAAAAGTTGTCTGTTTTTATATACCGGGAATCCGGGGTTAATAGATACGACATAGGGGTGAATAGAGCAAAAATGCTAGGGTTGTCAAATTTGCTTTTGTTGTAGTATTTATTTATTTATTTATTTATTTATTTACTCTTTATTGTACACCAAAAACAAAACAAAAACGAATACAATTAAATCTAAATTAGAAAATGTACAACAGGCGGTCTTATCACTTTGAAAGTGATTTCTTCCAGACAACCTTAGTGTAGAGAACTGATGTAAACAATAGTTAAAAATAGAGGGGGCGTACAAAATAAAAAAAAATATAAAATACATACAAATAAAGGCAAGTGAAGATTATGTATGATATAATAATATAATAGATTAAATGAAAAGAGTACGAAAAAAAAAAGTGATTTATCTAATAGCGTTCTAAGTAATACGATTTAACAAGACATTTGAAAGAATGAAGAGATTGAGCACGACGAATGTGGAGAGGTAAAGAGTTCCACAAACGTACAGCAGTGACAGTAAAGGATTTCTTAAAAAAGGAGGAAGAGTGCGAAGGAGTAGAGAGAGAAAGATTGACAGAGGATCGAAGGAACCGATTATGGGTAAGGGAAAGATACTGGAAACGGTCTTTTAAATAATGAGGAGTGGAAGGATTAAACAGCACGCTATATAAAGTGGAGAGTATGTGAGTATTCCTGCGAAGGCGGATCGGGAGCCATTTGAGCTGTTTGCGAAATTCAGAGATATGATCATATTTGCGAAGCCCAAATATGAATCTAATACATAAATTTTGAATGCGCTCAAGCTTATTAAGCTGCTCCTCGGTAATGTCAAGATGGCATATGTCAGCATAGTCAAGGATAGGTAGAAGTAGAGACTGGGCAAGCGTAACTTTAGTTACTGTGGGAAGAAAATTACGTAATCTACGTAAAGAGCTTAAAGCAGCAAACATTTTTCTACTAACCTCATTAATCTGTGAGGTCCAAGACATACAAGAGTCGAGATACAACCCCAGGTTTTTAACCTTGTTACTGTAAGGGATTGGAGTGCAGTCTAGTAAAATAGGAGGTAGGGAAGACCAGTCAATTTTTCCAATTAATCTAGAACTACCGTTGATAATGGCCTGAGTTTTCTTGGCATTAATCGTTAAACCATAACGTTTACTCCGATTCGAAATACAAGTCAGATCAGCGTTAATAGTGTCAACTGATTTAGACAAATCTTCAAGAGACGATTGAGTATAGATTTGGAGATCATCAGCATACAAGTGGTAGGAAGAAGACAGATTATGACTTATAGAGTTAATGAAAATTGCAAACAGGAGAGGAGACAACACGCCACCTTGTGGTACGCCAGCCGCTTTTGTAGTCCAGGTGTACGGTGTCGGCGACCAAACAAGTAACTTCGAAACCAGTCAACTACAGTTGGAGATATGTTGAGAAAGCGCAGGATGCCCAACAAGATATCAAAATCTACTGTATTAAATGCATTACTAAAATCAAGTAACGTAAGAATGGTAAGCTTTTGTTTCTCCATACCATACCGAATATCATCAGTGATTTGTAAAAGTGCAGTAGTCGTACTATGGCCAGGACGAAAACCGAATTGCAAAGGATTTAAAAGATTATGTTTTAAAAGATAGATGCTTAATTGATTGTGCACAAGACGTTCAAGAACTTTGGAAAGGAAAGGCAAGATAGAGATAGGTCTATAATCAGAAAAACTAGACGGATTCGACTTTTTCGGAAGAGGAACTACAAATGTATCTTTCCAAGCTGAAGGGAAAATAGAAGAATTCAGTGAATTATTCAGGATGGAAGTGATTACAGGTGAAAGGAGATCAATGAGAGGGATGACCATTTTCCGACTAATGCAGTCACTACCAATTGAATTTGAATGGATGGACATTATGGCTTTCATAACATCACAACTGTTAAATTGACTAAAATTAAAAGCAGAGGTGTCTGGAGCGGGAGCTTTTGAAAGAGAATCCAAAGTATTGTGTTTTGCTTTATCGTTAATGCAAGACGAAGATGAGAAATGCAAATTAAGTTAATTGAGATCAAAGTTAAGGTGAGTGAAATTTTGTCGTAATTTCCCAACTTCTAAAGACTTGAGAAATTTCTAGACCCTAGCAGGGTCAGGATCTTGTACTGATTCATGGATATGGCGTCGTTGTGCTTTTCTACACAGATTGTTGCAACGATTCCGTACTAATCTATACTTCTCTCGATTCAGGTCGCTAGGAACTGACTTGTATTTCGCTTTGGCACAATTTTTAATGTGGATGATTTTTTTTATATCATCAGTAGTATGTAGGTTGTGAGCCTGTGAGTTTACAAACATAAATTGCACAAGGACAAACATTCAGACTCGGAACAATTATTTGTAGGCCATACAAATACTTGTTCCGTGCGGGATTCGAACCCGCGGCCCCCAGCGCAACAACTGATTGCTAAGCCACTGCGCCACGGAGCCGTCGACACCTATTCCGCACCGCTTAGACACTCTTTAACTCGTATACCGAGCGTCTCTGTTAAACAATAAAATACAAATATAATGAATGATATATTTACCTACTAGATAGAACTAAATTATATGAGCACACTAAGTATATTTACTGCAGGAACTTCTATCTGTTGTAATGGTAAAACCTCAAGTATTTGGAATTTTAATGTATAACAAATATCAAAATTTTAAATTTATAATAGAAGACTTAAATACCTTTAGTATGGTTTAAACGTCTTTTTTTAATTTTGGTTTCAATTAGCTACTTAAATTCATTTATGTACTAGTAAGTAAATGGTGCAAATAGTTTTTGACAACCCTAAAAATCATGTTTGTTTCTAATAACCCCTCATTCGTATCTATTCACCCCTTTCTTCGTTTCTATTAACCCCAAATGCGTTTTTATTCATCCCTCAGTCGTATCTATTCACCTCGAATTCGAGAAAAACCAGTATCCTGATTTTATTATTTAAAAAAATAAAATCGTTAAATATCGATATTCATATTTGTATTAATAACAGATGAGAAACTCAACTCCCTAAAAAAAATTTGCAATAAGAAAACACTGAAGAACTTGATGTTTAACTAAAAGTTTTACACAGCATAAAACCTCTTGTACCTACTCACACGTTTATAATAACCGTCCTTTTCTTTACTGTCATCAAAATTGGCACAAATTTTAAGGTTACCAAAATAAAGGGAAAATGTTGGCAAATAATAAACAGTAGTAATAAACAGACGTTCCCGAGCTGTAGACAAACTTAGAGACAACTTTATCAAATAACCAGACTTGTGTCTATTCACCCCGCGATTTCTATTCACCCCATTCTACGGTACAGATTGAAACCTCTTTTATTCTATTTTCAAAATTTAAAAATTTAAACAACGAAAACAAAAGAAAAAACAAAATACGACGGCAAAATTGTTTGTAATTCGTTACGTCAAGGAAATTTAAAAATTTTCTACTGATATTAATTAATGAAAAGGGATTAGATTGATTTTCTTTTTTAATTTAACGTGTCGTGTGAGCTTTAAGAGTCATGTCAAGTCGTCATTTGAGTCGAGGTCAAATTTTACGAGCCGTGGGCGCTGCTTGACCAATAAGTTCCGGTTTGGGTTTCATTCGGATTCACGAAGAACACACGTTTGGAGAACTCCAGGGAGAGTTAATCGTCTACGGCACCCTCAGAAGGTCCACTCATACCAAGGCGGGACAATCATGGTGTGGGCAGGAATTCTTCTTGGCGGACGAACCCAGCTCGTTTGGATCCAAGGCAGAATAGCAACATAAAAATACCACGAAAAGGTATTTGAGCCTGTTATTGTCCCACACAGAATCTAAATGGGCCAGGAATTTCTTAGTCATGCACGATAAAGCTCCTTCCCATACGGAGCGGCTGGTGTCGGCCGCTCTCCGCGACCCCGATATTCAAGTTTTGGATTGGCCTGCACAGTCGCCCGACTTAAATCCTATCGAACATGCCTGGGACATGTTACCACGAAAAGCTTTGAGAGATTTCTTGTCAAATTTGACAACGGAACAGCTTTACGAACACAAAAGCAAAGAACAGTACCGCAGGACCGCATACCGCAGCAAGACATTGAGACAATTTAATTTTAAGTATGAACAATCGATTTCGATGTGTAATTAATGTAGGTAAGGGGTGGTAATACTGATTATTAATAACTAGATTTTATAAGGTTTTATAAATTTTAATTAAAACTAATAGTTTTACAAGAAGAAATGAGGTTTTATTATCAACCTAATTTTCTACGGCGATTAAAAAAATTAACATTTTTATTTAAAACAAAAAAATCACGTAATGTTTTTTAATTTTTATTAAAGACCTTAAAATAACCTATCATTCTTCCATTTATGTACCATATCTGGAAATTGTTCATAGATTTTTAGATATTTGATGAAATATAAAATATCTCTAGATTCTGTTGAAGTGTATAATTAAAATTTTTTATGTTTATACTTCACCAAATCTAAGAAATACCTTTTGATAGCTGTCACATTTATTGGACTAGGCCTTCCAACTGAAAAATCGTTACCTACACTATTCGATCTTAAGAGATCGATATCGATTCTTTAGAGTTTTTGTAATCATTTAGAGTTTTATCTAGATTAAGACCAGAATAAATTAGAAACAAATAACTCAAAACACGGAATTTATCAGTTTTTTAGGGTTCCGTACCTCAAAAGGAAAAAACGGAAACCTTATAGGATCACTTTGTTGTCCGTCTGTCTGTCTGTCTGTCAAGACCCTTTTTCTCAGGAACGCGTGGAGGTATCAAGCTGAAATTCATATCAAATACTCAAGTCTACTGTCCCTTGGAGCTGTGAAAAAATTAAACTTCTAAGCCAACGCAATCAAAAGATACAGCCGTTTATGCCGCAAATTTTCGACATTTGCAAGGGAATCAAAACCTACAGGGTACTTCCCGTGAACTCAGAATCTTTTAATTTGGTACGAAGCCACGTATTATAGCACAGATAAAGGAATAATTGCGAAAAGCATAAATTTTTAGTTAAATCATATAATACAAATACCTAGTCAGGTCATAAATTCTGTCACATGTTTAATATAAAATAATTGAAACAAGTTTATTCATTATGTAACCATTTATATATCAAAATGAACTTTACAAAACATAGATTCTTATGACACTAAAGTTTATTCAAAATAACCTCCGTGATTTTGAATACAGGTCTTTAATCTGCGCGGCCAGTCGTCTATCGCAGCACGAACGAGGTCCATGTCAATATCGGCGGCTGCCTTAATCAAGGATGTCTTGAGTGACTCCGAATAGGGATGAGGCTTTGAGCACGCCTTTTCCTCCAAGTGTTGCCATATCTTGTAATCTAACGGATTCA